AGTAGAGTATTGATTGCAGTCTCTTAGCAGCAGTGTTATGGGCAATGTTTGGATTTCTATGCAGAGAAAGTGTTGCTGCAGAGATAGAAAGTTCAGTCTCTCCCATAGCTGAACAGAGGTCATTAGCACATCTGCCATAGTGTTGGTTCTATACCTGTAGGTGCCGTGGAGAAAAAGGTGTAGCAACACCAAAAAGGTGGAAGACACATCAGCAGGGAACAGGAAACTGAGAGATGGTGTAAAGTAAGTTAACAAAGAGGAGGACAAACAGTTTCAATTAAATTCATTTTTGTAATTTTTCTTTGATAATGCGTGCTACACAACTTCCAAGGTAAAACATGTTATGGGACAGAATTCTTCAAAGTAACAAAAGAATGCGTGTTTGGTTAAGGTCTAATTATCGCTGAATCCAATTAGGAAGTGGTTTTTAAGCTGCTTGTCATCTTGATTAAGCAGTCACCACAGGGAGTGTGCAGAGGGAACATTTTGTGCAGGCGGGAAAGTACAAGGACAGACACTAATACGACATGTCAGTAAATAACTAAATGGATAAAATCAAGTTCACTGCACAAATGTTACCGATATTGACATGTATTCCTAACAGTTTTCTTTGCCGGTCTGAATTGGGAGCTAATTTAGAATCTAATTGCTTGCCAGAAAGAAAACAGAAAATACAGAAATACTTTAGCACTGGGAAACAACTCTACATTACACAAGTATGAGTCTCTGCATGTTGCATATTAGGTAGCAGTTTTTGGATTCCTCCTGTTTTGTAAGAATAAATAAATGTTATCTTCAATTTGCTGTTTCACACCCGAGGGTGTTAAGTTGTACAATAGATTGTTTCTTTCTGGCCTGAAAAGGGATATAAAGGTCCTCCAGCACAATAGGTTCTGACATAGCTTTCCAAAATATATTTCTATGACATCCTTTAAGCCCGCTTCTAAGACTGCCAAAAACTCTACTCTTGGCAGGAACTCATGCAACCTTGAAGTTGAAAACTCAAACAACACCTGGTATGTTATACTTCATTAGTCCCTGTGAGGAAACTTGTCCTCTGTATTCGACCCATTAGGCAATAGTCGGCAGCTGTGTTTCAGCCCAGAGGAACTGAGTCAAGGTCTAAGGCCAGTACATTAGTCAAGGGTAATGTTAGGTTCATTCCCAATATATTACATGTAGGTACTCTGGGTGGGAGGAAAGCGCCAAGGCCTCCCAGCTAAGGTTTGAAGCCAGGAGTTTCTTGCCACTGCTGAGCCACCCTACCAGGTTTTGGCCTGTTGCCTTGATCAAATATAATTCCTGTGCCGTCATTGGTCGTCTTAAAGACTGCCTCCCTTCCCCACTCACCTTGCAAGTGAGTGAAGTTGTGCCAGTACCCTAACTTAACAGCAAGAAACAAAAACACCAACTCCTGCCTCGGTACATTTCACCAAGTTGTGCCACGCCTTTCCTTTAATAAATCAAAAGGCATCATTTAGAGTGTTTTATATATAAATGGTCAACTCGTTTCACTGCTTTCTCTCAGAGCAGTTTGATGAATGGGGCCACTGACACTAAACTACTAACTGAGAGAAAGCTATTTGTACAACAGCAGGCGTTTAAGTCTTCCACTCTTGTGCATTTGAGTCTACAAATTATGCAAAGTGATGGCATTTGAGCACCCTGCATTAGAGGGAAGAGAAACAAATAAACTGAATGGATTCACGACACCCCTGCTGTAATATAAAGGTCATGCCTGTATTGTAAAAGCTGATTTTTAAACTACTGGTGTGGCTACGGCAAAATACAAAAATAAAATGCATTTTTATAGTGAATGGGGATCCCAATAAGACAGCAGTAAAAGTTGATGTGTGTCCCTGATAAAACTGCGAATGCTATCCGTCTCATCAGACATGGAAGTGTGTATCTAATCTCGTAACCTGGGGGCAGAACTTGAGGCCAAACGGCTGCACCCTTCCTCACCTCGGGCCAGGCCAGAGCAATTACTACTGCAGCTTCAAACACAGACCTGTGTCACCAACGCAATTAACAAGCTCTGGAGGAGCCTGGGCAACCAGAAAGCGACAGACAGTGTACACAGCATGAATGATGAGAGGCGAGAAAGGACAGGGAGTGAGGAAGAGATGGATGGGGGAAACACTAGTGGATCAAGTCAGGTTGCCAGGTTTTTGTGAGCCGTTAGTGCAGAGAGACGTCAAACTCTGCAAACAAAGGAGATGTAAAAGCAACATTATTGATTTTTTAGATGTCATACACATGCAGATATATTGTGTCAACCAAGAGATGATACACCCATGTAGCTCTGGGCAGAGATTTTGAGTGAGCCTGCAAATGCTAAATTCTGCCTCCCACTTCTCCACATTGATCATTGTTGTGAGGATGATTCATCACAGCTGTGACACAGAGGGTATAATGTGTTACAGCTACCAGAAGAAACAGCCGTAGGTGTTATCTAGGCAGGATGTTCATTTTATTCAGAGGCACGTCCCATTATCAGTTAGAGGAAACCAAGCATCCCGCCATCATGATCCCATCTTTATCACCTTGCCTGTGACCAGTTTTATGTCTCACCATTGCAAGATTAATTTCTAAACTCTAATCCTCATTTTATATCTAAAGCCCTAGTATTAGCCTGCTCATCTGCTGCTCTTGTCATCACAATATCCTCTCAGTCTCCTTCCCCTTCCTCCTCTAAAATTCCTTTACTAGTCCGAGTAGGATGCTCCGACAGGAAAAGATTGCGCAGAGGTTAGAGAGAGAAGCCCTGAGGTGTATTTGCCGACTCCGGGATGTGAGAGTGATGGGAGCTGTCGAGGGGAGATGGATTCCCCGGGCATCTCGTCTCCACCCAGTCATTGTTCATAGGCTGGGGCTGCCAGACAGCTGTCTGTACCTGCTAACGTCTGACAGATGCATGCTGTCAGTCAGTCTGGAATGGTCCACAATCTGCATCTCACCTTCTCCCCAGATGCATCTGTGGTGAGCCAAATATCGATGACTGAGAAGAGATTGATTTGTTCCTAGTTTGTGTTTCTCAACCTTTGGTGGAAGACATTAAAGGAAGCATGCTGGAAGTGCTAATACGATTTGGGACTGTAAAGACACAACACAAAACCATAGAGACCACATTACAGCGTCAATAAATAACGTAATATGGGCATAAATGCTAATGGCTGCTCAACAGCTACTACTTTGCATCCAAAATCCATAGTCAATACAATGGAAACCCTCATAGGGAATTAACATTTTTAAACTCCAAGATATTTTACAACAGCATAAGTGATATCATGTATTGTGAAAGTATTGTAATAGTCATGTCTGGTTTCAATGAGATGTAGAACCCAAAGCAAACGGGAAATATTTATAAATCCAGGGTAGCATCCCTTGACTGATTTGTTTTTTTGTGCACTTGTAAATAGGCCAAGGGGAAAGATGAATTCAAAAAGTACATTTACTGTGAGAAAAGCAATACATTCCCTTGAATGGTACAAGGGTTTTGGGTCTCTGCAAATAAACTGTCATTTTTCACAGGCGGATGCACATCCTCGCAAATACTTAAACGCACACACACATACATCTCAAGGCAATGTGTGGTCTGTTATTAGAGACATGTCCTACTGCTCTCCCAGCTCTTGCATGCTAATACAGAGAATCATTAGTTCATGGTGGGTTGGTGGGTGGTGGAGCTGCTCCATTACTGAAGCAACAGACACAACTGTCTTTTAAATGATGGCAGAGAGAAATAGGCTCCATTATAGGCGACAATCAAAGCTGCACATCCACTAGCAAGCGCGTCACGTAGCTAATTCAATCTCACAAGCCATGAAGCAATTAATTGATGTCGATACAAATGCACAAATAGTTTTTTAGCCCATCAGGAAAGTGCCGGTCTCACGGCTGTGCTTTGTGTTTATTTGTGCCTCCGTGTGAACATGTTCAGTGAAGTGAACCAGGAAGAGCAGGTGTAATTGGGTGTGGAAAAAAGGGAACCTTGTGCTAAATTAGATCAGACAATCGTCTCCTCTCCATTTCCTCGAGCAGACAACAGGCACATTGTCCCCCTTAGGTGTGTTATTATTTCTGTAATCAGGTTGGACTACACTGCAGAAGCGACACAGATGACGGGATAATGATAGTTCTCCATGACTAGCCTCCGTTTAAAAACACGGGGTACAGTTTCTGGCTACGCTTCATCCCATCTAATTGAATAAATTAAGCTGAAGAAACATTATAAAACACACAAGAAAAATGCCTCTAAAAGGGTTTGAGTGTGTGGTCAGATTCAGCCTTAGCTTAGTGAATGCTGAGGATCAATGCCTCATGTGGTAAATAATTAAGCCCCATTATTTCTGCAAAGGGAAACTCATGAGAGAATGCAAACCCAGATATGTTACCACTCTTAATGTCCACTGCGGCTAAATGAGTTTCTAGGAGTCAATATCTCAATGTGGAGACATGTGTGATGTGGAATCAGACATGCTGAGAAAGCATTATTGGCTTGATAAAGCGGCTCTGGTAGGAAGCAGGTGTGAAGAAAGTGTGAGCAACATCATGGAGCGAGTCTGGGGAGGTGAAGGAAGTTAACTGAGTGAGAGAAATGAGCAGCGGAGAGACAAAGGCTTTGTGATGCAGGCTGTGGGTTGATGGAAGTGGGTTCTGGCTTGTCTCTAGGAATGAAACCGGTCTGCATTTAAATTCATCTGCGGAGAAGCTGCTCCATCACCTCCTTTTGTTTCCAAAGCTAATGTTCCCAGTCCTTTCTGGGTGGGTTGCTGCTTTGCATTTTGATGAAGGAAGACTAGATATCCTCCCCTTCCTGAATCCCTTCTTTACAGCCCTTCATCTCTCTCTCTCTGTCTCCATCCATCGTCTGCTGCCTGCAAGCTTGTTTTTTCTTAATATTAGTGTCCTGGATGACTGATGGTGTTTTGCAAGAGACAAATAATGCATAAATTGTTTCCTAAACTGAAAATATGAATGTCATCCTCCACATCCAATCCAAGAAGCAGACTGTTTATTTATAGATTTAAGACAATAATAGACAAATCAAAACAAGTGGAAACATCAAACAGTCAGATTTATGTTGGTAGTTATAAAGTTTGCGCTGCGGGACTTATTTCAATATGCTGTTGACAAACCAATTTATCCCTTCCGGTGGGTAAACAACTCTCAGTGCATCTTTGTACAGTGCTACAGCACAGTGAAGTCATGTTGTTGTCAAACATGTCCCATATATTAAGGGTGACACCGCTTTCCATTTTGTATTTAAGGCAACGGAATCAATCACATTCAAAACAAACTGCTGACACAGACAGACTTGCGGCGGTACATCATGAATGAGAGCCATGGCTGAGCGGGTCAAGGTGGAAAGTGCGTACACTCGCGTGGATTGCAATCTGTCATGTGCTGCAGATTGGCCAAGAGTAATGAGCCTTTACATTACAGTGTAAAGAAAGCTGATACTGCGCGAGTACTATTTTGCACAGTCAAATTACAGTTCGATTTTCACCTAACAAAGACTCAGCAACATTCACCAATCAATATGTGTCAAAATGTCCCCCCGCTTTCTTTAATAGATCTGACAAACGCAAGGAAGTGTGCGCAAATCTACAAGCATAAAGAGTCAGCGGGTAGGGCAGAGGGTTTAGGGAGAGGAGGGGGTGGTGGGGGGGGGGAGGCAACAGCATGATGGAAAGTGCAAGAGACATCATTGTATAACGAAAGCTTAAGACACTTATTTTTTTTTAGTACAATAAAAAAATATGACACCCAGATCAGCTTTGTAATATATTCTCTCGAAGGTGTAAGGCATATCGGCATACAAAAGTTCACTTTTCTTTGTCTGGGAGTGTCCAGAGTGTTTGTCGAAACAAAATCATATTGGACATAGATGAAGTGTGAAGCGCACGGCGTCACAGAATTTCCCGTTTTGTGACATCTGTCGGGCTTAACAGATGCCTCGCTCGGCTGCCTAGCCAGGCTCCTGTCTGAGTCAGCCAGGCTCACCAGTAAGCCAAGGATCTGACTGGCGGTGGAAATTGAGCTTGATGGTAATTGATTGCACATAACTTGTGTGCTTTAATTTAAGAAAGTTAGTAGCGAGTATGGTATTACAAAAGTTGGAGAGCAGAAAAAGACATGGCCCATCCATATTTGTCACAGCAGCCCTCTTCAAGGTCAGCTCACTGCCAGCAGGCACCATGAGGGGAGAGGGGAGAGGGGAGAGGGGAGAGGGGAGAGGGGAGAGGGGAGAGGGTAAAGGGTAAAGGGTAAAGGGGTAAAAGGGAGAGGGGTAAAAGGGAGAGGGGTAAAAGGGAGATGCCTGACAGCTCAAAGGGGCCGATGGCTGGCTGGAGCAGAGACTGAAGGACAGGTGGATGGTAGGAGTCAGGTCTGCTGGTATCAGGGGGCGTGGTCCATGGATGGTCCAGAATCATTGTCATCAAAGTCCCGGGGGTCCATGGGGTGTGCCCTTGGCTCTGGAAACCTGGAAAAAGACAGCAAAAACAGAACAGAAACAAATGAGATGACTGTAAAGATATACACACTTTCTGCGTCCTTAAAGGTCACCTATTATGCAAAATCCAGTTTTCTTTTTCTTTTAAACATACTTTTTTTTTTTTGTAAAGGGTTTAGGAGATTACGTTAATTAGTAACAGGAATATTATGTTTGTTTGAAATGAATAGAAAGACAGCCAATTAGCGTTGAACTTCTCCCAAACAACGTAATGTTGAGTGTGGCCTGTTTAATGCAAATGCATGGATGATTCAAACCCTCAAGTCTAGTGAGACCATGTGCAGAGCGTGCGTATGTACAAGCTTTACGTCCTTGAACTTCTTTCTTCTCCTTACCACAAACACAGAAATACCACCCACACACACCCTCCCTCCATGTGCACATATTATGGAAATATAATAAACCTTTGTGAAATGTAATCAGCTTCAATCAAGCTACGCCTTAAGTAGAAATCATCCATTCTGTCGGTTTTATATTAGCAGCACTGCGGTGACAGAGACAAAGTGATAGCTAAATTGCAGGGACCTGTAGCAATCGGAGCCTGGCTGAAAGATTCAATTTCACAGTCTACACTAATCATATGCTCTAATTGGACAGAGTCGTCAGGGTGATAGAGCACTGTTCCCAGACGCTAAACTCTGGAACTTCTCTCATTCCTCCCCTACATTCTTCTTATTATGATTTTCCCCATAAGTCTATCCATTTTCAAAAGGGTCAGCAAGTTTTCCTGTACAAACACTCTTTAATTGAATGAGATTCAATGTACTTTATCTAACCAATCCTTTCTGAAACAATCATTTCTTATGACCTTGCCCAGCTCAGTTTGCATTTATATTTGTGAATTTATTCGTCATCTATCTCAGAAGAAATCAACACAGATTACTCCAATCTTGATTTCCTGATACTCTCCAGATGTTTACTCCAATGGCAGGAAGACTGATTGTGCATTTTCTTGGTTTATGATCGATAACTGCCAACTTGTAAGTCAAAACTGATAACATTGATTCGGAAATGAAGCTGTAATGGGATGCAGAAAACAGATTACCTGCGTGAACCCACAAGGTCATATGTTCAGTTTAGCAGCTGCATGTGTATGTACCCACAACGCAGTGATTACATTTAGATAGAGAGTGGTTCATGACAACCAATAAAGCAAAAAGGTAATTGGTATAACAAGCAAAATTATCTCTCACACAAATGCTTACACAACACAGTAAGTGAAACAAATGAATCCTTCCTCAGAACAAGCACTGTGAGCATGAACAAAAAGCATCCAAACACATAGACGTTACTGTAGCGGGGGGGAAAAGATGAGACAGCAAATAAGGGCAGAACAGTTAGTCGTACAGAATACTCAATCTATTTATGTGGGAATTTTAATGTTTTGTTTCAGTTTTAATGTGCCTTGTCCAGAGGGAACAGAAACCTTTTCACCTGCATTCATTTTCATGGCCTAACAGGGGCCACTCCACTGACTGCAAATATATGCCATATTCTATAGATGTCTATGAAAAAATGACTTCTCACTTCATTAAATATCTATCTATTATGTTATGGTCTCAATTGCTTGTAGAAAGTTATGATTTCCATTTAGTAGATGATGGTCTAATTTAGAGTAAAATATATGAAAAAGAAACATTGCTTTAGGGCGGGCTACCTTGTGATTGACAGGTCATCACCACCTTATTGTCACATTTTTCGTAATTCAAATGTAACCGTTTCAGTGTGTTTCAGTTCATTAAAGTTGTTGTTAGATTTCAGTCACAAATCCTTCTTGTTCAGCGTGCGTATCTGAATAAGTTCCAAACTTGAGGCTTCAACTTCTATTTCTTTTATACAGTCTTAAGTTCCGAGCTAGTGATGGAAAGAAACCTAGTCACCATTGTTTGTTTGTGATGTTTCTGTACAGATAAACATAAATATAAAGGGGGTAAGGCACAGGTGTAATATGTGAAGCCTTTAAGACAAATCAAATGAGATAGGACTACACTACGTTTATATGTATACAAATTAAATAAAAGTTGAACGTTGTAAGCGACAGAGATGCATTGAGTGCACTCATGGATGAATGAGTTTTCAGTGCTGATAAACTAAGCCTCATCTAACCATGCATATTTGAATCTGCTTCACCGCAGCAACCTTTGCTGAACAACCATTATACTTACTATCTCCTGCGTAGTGCAATATCTCAATTAAGAGTTAAACACTGTGCTGTTCTGCCTCCGTACTCCTGCCCATACTGTATGCAGTCGGTAATAGGCTGAAATGTATTTTTCTCAGTGCTGCTCCCAGAGTATTTCTGTCTGACACACTTCTGTTGGCAGAAACAAAGAGCTGCTTCCTTTCCCTTCCTGCACTTCCTCCAGGAGCACAGACACAAACTCACAACAGGGCATCTCATCAAAGAGCAGCCACACATGTGAGCACGCATGCAAACACACACACGTGAACACCTATAGGCGGAGTGAATTGTCGGTGTTTCAAAATAAAAATAAACTTAGAAATTCCGTTGTTGAATTTATAATCATGTTGTGGGTTCAACAAGGCAGCAGTAACAACACACACACACACACACACACACACACACACACACACACACACACACACACACACACACACACACACACACACACACACACACACACACACACACACACACACACACACACACACACACACACACACACACACACACACACACACACACACACACACACACACACAATCAAGTGCTAAAAATCACACACACCAAATCAAGTGCCAAAAATGTGTATACACGCATGCCAGCTTGGCTGCTGTAAAGTTATACCATCTCGCTTAAGTATACATCCGAGGCATTCAATATTCAGAAGGGCTGTTCCCATTCAAATTATTGGCAACGTTTCTGTACCACACCAATTCTACTCAGTATTTAAATTGTCTAGAGCATCACACAGGCTGTTCCCTCTTTATTGTCAGCACAAAACATAAAAAGGCTGCATTGAGTTAAGCCCCCCGCTCACACACAGCTCCCTCCTTTCTGACATGGTGTTTGGGGTAAAAACTGTTGGCAGACTTATTTGTGTGAGGCAATTTCATCTTGCATCTCCACTCAACCAAAACACCCACCCCCCCTGCTCTTCTTTAAAAAAAAAAAAAAAGTAATTACAAATATATTTATATGGCACAAAGTGAGGCCTCCACTTTGGAGGCAAATGAACTATTTATATTCAAACTGTCCTTGCTAAGCCTTAGGACACACACGGATGTAATAACTTATTTATTCCGCCTGCACGAAAAAGGCCATTACTTGAGAGAGTGAAAGAGAATGGTTGGTGGAGAGGAAAGACAGAGAGAAGCTTCAACATGCAACAACATTTCAGTGGTTCTGTGATGAATTCCCTACAAGTTAAGACCCTTGCTTTCTTCTCTTTTTTTCTGTCTGTTCATTTTCCCCTGGCCTAAGTTAAAGATCACTTTCTTGTGTGCGAGTGTGTGTGTGCCCCGACGATTGGGTTCTTTCCGCCCATGACTTATTCATACGCTTTAATGCAGTCGATTAATTATTGATCAGGGCCGATCATTGCCTCCTACCCTTGGTGTGACCATATCCTGCGGACAGTGGGCCAGGGGCCGGCTGCAGAGCTCTCTGTCTGAGCTCCACTCTCAGTGCTGAGTGGGTGATGGATGGACAACAGGCTTGGTGTGTGGACATTTGGAACACTGTGTGTGTGTTCGTATGAGCGATATAAGATTTTAAAATAGGAATGATAGACTAGAACAAAGATAATCTTGCTAATGTCCCCTCTCTGAATCCAAAAAGTGTTGCCAATAGCCCCAAATTGAACCCATCACTCATGAGAGAAAACCTCAGGCGCACCACGAAAAAAAACTAAAAACAGAAGGAGGGAGCGTGCGGGACGTTCCCTAGACTTTGACTTTTGTCTCTCCCATTCTATTCGGGTTTGGCCTCACCCGTGTGCAGCTCTCAGGGAGATGGAGGAGGAAGGGAGGGGTCTTTGCCCTGATTAAGTTTGAATTCCCTGCTCTTGGCAGAGAAGCTGCAGGACTCCTAAGTCATCATCCGGAAACACTCCCATCACGCTGTGGCAGCATGGCCAGCTCCATCCAGTCTCATTGCCATATGAATAATCATACTGCAGTAGCTTTGGACATGCTGAAGGGGTTTGAGGTGTGTGTGTCAAAAGATGGAGAGATGGAAGAAAAAGCTGAAAAACAAACTGGGGGTTGCTGATAGGAAAGCGAGGTTCTTCTTGATTAAGCAAAGAGGCTGAGTGAGGCGGTGTACATAGTGCTGGTGGCAATCATTCTCAGGGGAAAGTAACTATTGCGATTTGCATTTCCAAACAGAGGTGATGCCATCGAAGCGTACTCCATCACATCAGAGGGCAGGGCACATTTCTCAAGACCTGGAGGCCTATGAGGTTGGGTGTAATGAGAGAGGGTCCCTAATGGTTATTGATAGAGCCCAGGAGGACAGACTCTTACCCTTACTCTGCAGTGAAGCAGTGCACTTTGCCTCGACTTAATGAAGTAAATCTTGTCGCTTCTGCAGGATAATTTAACACCACAAACAAGCTTTGCGACAAGAAATGTCTGAGATGTGGAAAAAAAGATCAAATACATGAATGAAAGGGGGAAGTAAGGATAGTGGTGCAATAATGACTTAATGAAGAGGTGAGGAAAGAAAAACAGATGTTGATGTACTAAAGAATACAACGCTTTGAGGCTCCATTCAGAATGATGCAATTCAATATCTACACAACATTCATATGCTGTGAAGCTTCTGTTTGCAGTTGAAATAATTCAGTTTAAACCTGGTAGTTCTGCGCAATTAAGATAATATTATTTGTATTCTATTATTGTCTTTGTAGAATCAGATTACAATAGTTGCTATATATGATTGCTCCTTCATGTACAATATCAAATCTGAAGCCCAAAATGCTTCTTTTATTTAAAAAATCAATAAA